AGAACAGGTCAAGGAGTTTTTACATGGTCTACTGGTGATCGATACGAAGGACAATGGAAAGATAACAACATCAATGGAAAAGGCACAAAATACTGGGTCAATGGAAATAAGTATACGGGTGATTGGGTCGATGACAAGAGAACAGGTCAAGGGACCTACACATGGTCCTGTGGTGATCGTTATGAGAAGAGATATTCATAAATGTCGTTTCTGCATCGATGGTGGTGCTAAATGAACAGAGACACCTAATTTACGTGATCGGTGAACAATGCTTGGGGCAATGGAAGGATGGGAATATGGACGGAAGAGGTAAAATGTATTATGCTAATGGTCAAGTAAAAGATGGAATGTGGTCGAATGGTGTTTATATTGACTAACACGTAGCTATACATGTATAACATATATTATGTAGGTTCACCTTGATAACTTGTTTTTCTCTTAAAACAAAATAAAATATAACACTATGGAAGAAAACAATAAAAGAGTGTTTAAGAAATTCAATAGTTAGTAAACTTGTGCAAATTAATAGGGATTGTATATTTTTTACTAAATGAAAAATCAAAGGTGAACATGGAAGATCTCCAAAAGTTATATAGGTTTAACCTTCATATCACCAGCCGCAGTCCAAGTGGATCCCAGAACATGTTAGGCTGTGGCTAACTACTCCTGGTTCCACTTTTATTATCCCTAAGAGAAGATAGAAAAGACCACGCTTGGTCCAGATGACTAATCAAGAGGAACTAGAAGTGAGAGAAGAAAAAAGAGGTAGTGATGAAAGATGCCACTACGTAACAGAACATCTATATTTTATGCAGATCTTAGGCAGTGGTGGGTCCATTTTCGCACTGTAAGATATGTTGCGAAGAATACTAGTCTAACTTACTGATGATATCAGCGTCTTCGATTTGAACATCGGCGATACAATAAAATAGGTCAAAGTATCTATTAACTTGTTTTCATCGCTTGAGGTTTAAATAGCCCTTGGAGAGTAGAGCTAGTTACACATCTATTATTGATGAAATAACACTTGGATTCGGTCTACGATAGACTCATCACCAGTCGCCGATCTTGCCCTATTCTTTCCAGGTTCTTGTTTTTCTTGATTTTCAAGCAAGATTCTTCTTCTATTCCTTATATACAAGATTCTTGTCTGAAAAAACTGATCTTGCCTTTCTTGTGAGATTCGTGTAGACCGAATCTTGTCTGATGAGGCAAGAAATTCTTCTCCAGGCAAGATTCTTGTTCTCTTACTTTCTTGCCTGATTCTTATCGTTCTTGATTTTCTTGCCTGTTTCTGATTTCTTAGGCTTCTTGCCTGATTCTAGTCATACTAAAAAAGCCTTTTCTAGGTTATTACTATTATTTTTATTTTATTTTATTATAAGCTTTTCACACCATGTACAAAAAAATATAAAAGAACAAAAAAATACTTTAAATTTCACATTTTCATGAAGTAGTTTTAGTTTTCAACATAAAAATTAACATAAAAAATATAAAAAAAATTCTTCTCTTATTTATTTTCTTAAAATTTTACCTATACGATGAGGATTATCAAATAATAGTTTTTTAAATAAATCGATATTTCCTTCGTCCATTATATGTAATACTTTTCTGGGTAGTGAAAAATCTAGAGAAAAAAAATAAAATATATAGATATGAATTAGAAAAATATCAAAATATGTTCAATAAGGATTACTTCCAGGAAACAATGAGAAAATGTATATCATATATTCCATTGTTTTCTTGATATGAAATAAACTTTTACTATACACCTAATTAAAACAATAACTTACTAGATGTCGTTTAAATTAAATAAACGCTTCAGAAAAAGAAAATAATCTAAGTAAATTTGCACTATACTTATCGAGTCAATAATAATTATGAATAAATAACGGTCAGCTAATGCTTTTATATATGTGATAAACAAAGACCACATCACGTGCCGTTCATCTTGGAAAGCTGACAAGAATCTGTTTTCTTTTCTATTACAAGAATCTTGTCTGAATATTAAGAAATTTAAAATATCTTGTGTTTCTTTCCAGGTTCTTTTTGTCTTGAACTTCAGTCCAGATTCTTTTTAAAGGGAAGAAAAAGATTCTTGTCTGAATATTAAATATATCTTGAATATCTTTTAATTCTTGCCTGATTCTTTTATTTCTGATTGTTCAGACAAGATTCTTGTCTACTAGAAATTCTTGTGAGATTCTTTTTACTTTCCTGTCGAAAAGAATCGTGCCTGAACACAAGAATCTTATCAGAAAAGCAAGAAAAGCAAGAACCTGAAAAGAAGAGGACAAGAACGTCGACTAGTGATTGCTCTGTATAAAATATTGTAGAAGATTTTTGTGTTATATTATGAACATTCGAAAGTGGATGGAACTTGTTTTTTTTTTATATATAATCACAATATCCTGGAGTGTTTTGTGTCATCCGAAAATTCAGAGTTTGGTGGAAATAAGAAAAAAAAGAAATAAAGAATAAAGATCATGAGAAAATGATACTAGAAACCATTCTTTCTTTTTAACTTTATCTGTAGCGATGTTTTATACATAATTCTCACGTTTTCTCCAACAATCTGATAGAAATTTTGCTCTCTCTAACTCAAGGTTGTGCTCGGGTCCGCATGACCCCGATCAAGAATAACATCAGTATTGGACAGGTGGTCGTATGAGGGTTAATTGTGTATTATATCTTTGAAAAATAATAAATGTGCTTTCTTAATATTTCTTTAGAGAAAAGAATGAAATTTGTATTGTATGAAATAAAATGTATCAATAGAAAAATGTTCGAATGATTGCTCATTATACTATTACTATAGTCATTATTCCTAAGGTTAAACAAATGTATCCTGTTTATTTTGATTAGAATATACACTCTAGTATTATTCTTAATAGTTCATATGTAAGATCTCAAGTTCTGATGAAGATTAATAATAGACAGAGATACTAAATATTCAAGCAGTTGATTTCTTAGATGTATGGAACTATAGAATAAAATGAAACAGTAAAATAAACAGATGTTTTTGGCTTTGTTTTATCGTTTTTTCAAATACAGTTCAATTATCAATATATATGTGCATTCATATAAATATCTTCATCAGTAGATTTTGTTACATTAATTGATTAGGGTTAATATTTCCTAAATTCAGGTTTGTTAACAGTATTGTTAATTAACCTAAAGATAAAATACAGCATTATTTTTATTATTTTAATTTGATTTAATTGAAATATGTCTCTGACATCTCGAGCAGGTTCATTAGTCATCTTCAGAGTCAAACAAACATTATGAACATTAAATTTATATATATAAGAGTGAAGGAAAATAAAGAAAAATGTGCTTAAAATATTAGTTAAAGGTGAAAATCGAAGTCTATTTGTATCGAAATGTATAATATCTGTGGACAAAATTTACTTTCTTTCGAAACGATAAGATATCATGGATAAAATTAGAAATGCACAAAATGGGGATTCTGATATTAATTCAGTTGCTTTATCTACATCAACCGTTGGAACCTGCATGTCAACAGTTATTGAACTAGAAAATGCAGTTTTTATTTATCATATTGAATCAAGTGACTTTATTGCATCAGATACATGCTCGATAACTGATGCTCATGCATTTTTAATGGCAATATTCAAGAAAGTTTATAGATTGGATAAAAAACCAGTTTTCAAAAAAGTTTACTTAATTGGTGGTTTGAATACTGATCAATACGTCAAATTAAAAAATGAAATTGATCGAATAGGTGAAGATCCTTCAATTATTACAAATGAAAATCGAACAGCTCGATCTGATAGTTTTTATTTATTTATTAATTCAATTAAAATGAATTTAATTGATTTTAATATAAAATCGAAAACACTACATGGTACAAATAAAAGACCCTACGACAATGATAGTCCAAACGATTATATCATGGATTGCACAGTAATATATGATCGTTCGTTTACTCCTTATATTTTTGCTGTGTATCAATTTGGTGGTCGAGAACATCAAATGAATTGCATTCGATATCATTCATTATTATTAGGAATTTATGTTATTGACCAGGTCGATGATTCTAAAAGCAATAGTCCATAAAATCTACTGAATACCATGGAACCAATCGTTTCCGGGCCGGATTGTTCGACCTGGATGATATAACATCACATGATATTCAAGCAGCATATATCTATTCAAGTGCTACAAGTTCACCGTATAATAGTGAGTTTCTTGCTCAAGTAGCACATAATGTGAAACACCAATCACATATACATCATTCAATTGGTGATAATATGCTCACACAAAAATTAAATGAATTATTATTAAGAGTTGAACCAACATCGATGTTTGATGATGATCTATAAGACATTTACCATCATGTAGTTTTTTAACACATATGTATGACTTTCCTTTTCTTTGTTTTTTTCGTATCCATACACGTTCATATCTATATGTTTCTTCGTTATTTTCTATCTCTCTTATATTCACCTCTCTGCTTATGCCAAATAAAAAACTCATATATTCACATACATACTAAGTGATTGTGGAATGATATTGAAAATTTATCTTCGATATCAATGTTACATCAATACTGATGGAAAGTATGAATTAATACGAGGTTGTAGATTAGCAAAAGCATCATAGATATAACAGAAATTAATACAATTTCAAATATTTCATTCGAAAAATCGTCAAGAAATCGATGTTATTTTGTGTCGTTATGCTTTCATTTCTACTTTGTCATAATAATTGAAAATATATAAGATATCTTTGAGAAGAAATTTACACAAATACACAGTTACTTTTTAACGGAAGAAGATTTAGATTTGTTGGAAAAATTATTTAAGGATGTGAATAGGTGTATTTGCATTCTACTCATACCTTCATCCGTACCCACACCTAGTTACACCCACAACAATACCCTCAAAAGTTTTCTCGCATAAATCAAGAAAAAAGGGGAGATTTATGCCGCTACTAAGAACGAATGTCCTTCTAAGGGTCATACTGTATCTTCATGAAAACAAAGATATCATTTTTTTCCCATTATAATACAATAATATCAAGGGTTCAGGAGTAGCTGTCTAATTCGACTTCGAATATAAATGGAAAAAAATGAGAACAAAGTATCTCTACCGAAAAAGAAATAGAAATAGATTTTATAATTTATAATTTATAATTTAGTACTA